AAGAATTTCGAAGAATGAATCTCTTTGTAAGTCATCACGGAAGATCATTCTGATAATTTTAGTTGTCTATTATTTCCTATTGTTTCTGACCAAGGCATTTTTCATACTTCACGTGGTCACTATTGTTCATAATTATCCAGATGTGAGAACTTTTTGATAACCGCTAAACTCAGCCCCACGAACGATCTGAATATAATGACCGTATAGACTATAAACACGGAGAAGTCAGACCACTCTGGATGCCATCTCTTGCTCAAACAGCACCAAATCCCCATGACATGTGTGCGTGGCACTTTTATTTTTTAAAATCGCGACCTATTTCACCTACCTTGCAGCTATCCGCGTCTAGTTTGTATATCAAAGGATAATTAAACATCATTGTCTTGATCCCTATTCCATTATCAAGCCAAATCTCACGAAACAGCGGATGGCTATAAGGACCTCACGTTCTTTAGCTCTTTGTTTACACTTCTTAACAGCAACTACGGAAGTATTTTATAAATATTGAAGATCGCTTCGTCTACAGCTGCAGCCCCACCTTGTTGAGAGTTATTTTGCCCGATCACCAAGCTTAGGTAAAGAGGGGTTCATATTGGTTGTTTAAGCAAAGTTGATTCCATTAATCTAACACCACTTGCTTGTTAATCCGAACTCTGTGATGATAATCGGTGTAGGGATTCATGATAACCCAAATTACGCAGAGACGTGGTTCAAAATTTCCATATGGCAGAGATAAGAACCATAGACCTTGACTTGACTTGGGCAACATACCACCGGGCATAGAGTAAGAACTGGAAATAGTTACGGGCTTCACAAGCTCTTTGCTGGGTGACAACCTAGAACACTTCGATTCTTTAGTCAACGGTTACGCAGAGATGGAAAAAGTAGATAAATCATCTCAAATGTCATCGATCCTCGCGTTACATAAAGCTGGACAGCAAAACTGTCGTCATCTGTATAGATATTTCTGGAATGAAGGGGCGCATGCTTCTATTTATTACTCTACTTTACAGCTTTATTACACAGTAAGCATAACAATAAAATAAAGCCAGATCACTGACAACATTTTTTAGCCTTGAAGAGTGACCCGACTGACGCCATTTAAGTAACGTGCTTATCTGTAGATGATATTCTGAGCCGGCTGAAATGATACACTGAGATTTGAAGCTTAGTATGGACCAGAAACTGGGGCAGGTTGATCTGAAATTGTTTCTGTACCGGGACAGTAATTGAGTGTTGCCGAGCCACATGCTAAAGACTCGTGTCCTGGATCCAATACTGATCAATTCATGGGTTGGATAAAACATGTGTTTTAAACATCATCATTAACATACATTGTAGGTCATCTGCCCCTCGTTAAATCTGTCTTTCGTTTTGTAATTACATTTTTCAGATCCGTAAATATCACGAGCACGTTCATGGAACTTTCAGTGCATATTCATTACAAGGACATTCTGTTTATAGAGATGGTATCTGATGAGATATCTTGTTCGAGGGAAGTCTTAATTTGATCCAGGAAACTATCTGAAATATATTTAAACTGCTAATACTTTGCAACAGATCAACATTTTCATCTCACACAGTTTCAAAATGTCCTCTTTCCACCAAGATTTTAAAGGGCGTCACACTCAAGGTCAGAAGTTATTTGATCAAGGTTACAACATGCGAGGCCTCAGTAAACATTTCAAAACATGTTATGGAAGACATGTGGAGGACATTTCCAAATTTGACGCATCAGTGACGAAAATAATGTCCGATGCAGGTCTTAGACGTTTACCAGGTTTGCGAAACGCAAGAGCAGAGGCATGGTGCAGACAAATCTAGAAACATGATGAGGCCAAACACATAATCATAGGTCTAATGAACACAGCCGTGCACACATGTGACCACTTTGGTAAAACCCACCGATATGGACAAGCAAGAAACTAAGTAGGTCGAATCGGGAACGATCGTTTGGAAACCCGTCAGCTAAAAGAATCAACCTACTTATGGATTAAAATGTCCTGGTTTTTAGTATTATTTCTGTATGGTGTGTGGAAGGGTGGGATGAGTTGGGGTGGGTAGGGGTGGGGTGGCCCGTCACGCCAAAGAGCAGGCAATAGCTGTGATATTGCATAAAGCGTGTAAAGACCCTACCTCTCCTCATGTGCCCATTACTTCATCATTATTCAATATTAAAAAATGTGAAATGCATTAATGAAAAATTTAAAGATCATATTTACCGAAAGCGATGCCTAATTTTTCGACGAAAAGAGTCGGTGTACATTGCATTGCCCTTTTCGCAAACATTAGATTTGATACACATTGTCTGTCATCAGTTTCCTGAATTCAACACGATCGACTGATCAAACTTCCTTTTGATACTACAATGTTGAATGTATGTTATTGATCTAAATATTTCAAACCAATAGCTTCTGAAGGCAAACTTAATGCTAATTACAAGATGGACAACAAAGAGACCGATAGCAGTACTTTGTAGTATCGCCACTCACCGAAGTGACTAAGCTGAAATATATTTACAGTAGTAATAAATAAAAAGAAATGGGTTTATGGGTGGTTGGATCGTCAACGAGCTCATGGCGCTATATTGGTATGAGGTTTGGTTTCCGCTTGGCTCAGCAGTCGGGGCAGGGCAAGGGCGGTGGCATTAACGGGCATGACGTTTTAGCTTCAAGGCAACAAGGTTTTACATTACCTAGCACAACAACTGATTTATAGTTTTTGACCGTTGAATCTATTAGTCGAATCGATACACCTGCACGCGTTTTGCAACGTGTGTGTTCGTCTGTAACGTTGTACAACCGGCGTACTCATATTGTTAAATCCATTAGGATAGTGACAACGTTTTGAGAGGAAGTTTGCCTGCGACATGTATCTATTTAAGAAATTCTGAATTTGAATATTCATTTAGATATGCCTCCACATTGCAAATTGAGGCTTCATGACAACAAAATATACTGAAACGCAAAAGAAACGTCACCATAGATAGATATATGAGAAGCCTTATTTGTCCAAACACTGTAAACATACTTTGAGACATATTAAAAAGATGACACTTGGCAGAACTGATCATCAAGGTTGAAACACAACACTAGTCTCTGAGATAATGGCATCATAAGTGAGTATCTCGTGTGTCCGCCATGTGCGTTGATGACTGCCGTGCAACGTCGATACATGGAATGGATGAGGCCGTTGATGAAGACCATAGACACTTGAGCCCACATTCTGAAGAACGCCCGTTGGAGTTCAGCTGCAGTTGTCGGCCTTGGTCGGACGTCATTCAGCCGTCTTTGAATCTCGTCCCACAGGTGCTCAATAGGATTTAAATCGGGACTGAGGGCAGGCCATTGAATGGTTCTGATGCCATTCTGCTGGAGGAAGTCTCTTGTTGCTCTTGCAGTGTGGGCACGGGCGTTATCATGCTGAAACTCGTTGTTGCGGCGACATGCCAAATGAGGTATGGCGTGTGGTCTCAAGACTTGATCAATGTACCGAGTTGCTGTGACATCATTGCCTCTCCCTGGGCCGATGTTCTGTAAGACCACAGGGCCGACCCTCTTTGCAAGACCAATTCCACCCCACACCATGATGCCCGGACCACCCCACGAGTCTCTCTCAACAACACAAGCATCAGAATAACGTGTCAGCTCATCGACGCATGGTGTCCGCACTAATGTGTCGCTGGTGTGTCCCCATGGTCTGTCGAGCAGTTTCCGCAGCAGTGACAAAGCGATCTTGAAGATGCTGTCGCACAATCTGACGATCCTGACGTCGGGTGGTGACCCTTGGTCTTCCACTACGTGGTCAGTCATCTGTAGTGTTGGTGGTCTGGTAACGTTGCTGGAGCCTGTATATGGTCCTTATGTGGACTTGAAATGCATTGGCTACTTGACGGGCGGTTTATCCAGCTTGCAATCGTCCAGGGGCTTGGTGTCGCTGATTTCTTGTCAATCTTGGCATGTGGCATTTTTATAGGGCAAGAAATGGGGGAACGCATGTGCATTTCAATTTGCACGGAACTCACGTGCATCGGGTTACCATGGCCGTTGCCGTGATGCGTTTGGGCGATCGTTTTATTGTCATCTGCTTTGTTTTTTAAAATGAAATTTCATTTTTCCGGACAAGGTAATGTTAAATTCTACAAACTGACAAAAATTACCCAGATATGTAAATGACAACTTTTCATGCAATGTAACTGGGGTGGCGTTTCTTTTGTGGTTCAGTATATCTTGAGGATTCATACTATGTTCAGGTGAAACATGTCACGCCATTTCTTTTAGAAGGAGACGAATTGTTGATCAAAGAATCACGCGTGTACATCGATATCTTTATAGGAATAAAGTCAGTAGATGCTACCAGAAAACAAAGAAAACTAAACCTACTAATAAGCCTTTATATCTGATCATAATCTACTTTGAACTACTTTTCTCTGATTTCGCTATGTATGTGCATGATGTGCTATCGTCCTCAATCTTTCAAGCCCCGTCAACAAATGAGATTCTCTCAGAAAAGAAAACCTGTTGGCGTAAACTGTTTCAGTACCAAACGCTAGCATGACGTTTTCATGTCGAAAATGTTTTAAAAAATAAATTTGAAATGGCACTTTTCAAACTTAAAAACCTTTCAAAATTAAGCATAATAAAATCCGTCATATCGCCATTGACGTAACAAAAGACAAGACAAATATATTTATAGCCAAACAAAAGTTTTATAGCGAATTAATTTTTTAGAAAAATACTGAAAATGTTTATCGGTCCATATTTCCAATTCCAGTTAATACTTATCTCATGCTTCCGGAAAGAGGCATCAGAACTATACGCAACGATCCTGACAGAAGGGCCGCTCAGGTCGATTGTTTGACAATAACACCTACAGGGCCCATGTGACTGGGAGTCTGGATTAGCGCTTCCAATAGACCCGACTCCAGTTTATCGATCTGTTGTGCGTGGTATAAGAGGCCTCGGACGTTTTCTCCCAGTCGCAACACCCAAAGGCGATAATTTGTAAGCTTTTAGACGGCTGTTTGTAGAGTCAGTGTCGCGGTAACTAACTGTCTCAGTACACGTCTCGGTGGTACCGACAATGGGATTTCAAGAATTTGTTGGGAGTAAGTTGAATGTGAAATAAGCTTCCTCTTGGTTGGTGAATGGTACTGTGAATTATAGTGGATACATTGTCTCAATAGGAAGCAACGGACATCCTCATCAACTGTCTTCTTATAATCCCGATGTTATAGATTTTGAAACGGAACAGACTTTGACAAAGAATGGCAGTGGTTTTGGAAAAAGTCATTGTTCTATGCCACGATTCGCGGCATTGTAATATTCTTTAATACCACGAAACAAGCGTGTGCACGTGAGCTGCATCTGACAGACACTGCCCAGAACTATCCTGAATTAAAGATGTCTCAATTTTTTGACGCAACTGAAGCTCCCGGGGAAAAGAATGAAAAGATACCCGTTTCCCTTAAATGGTATCAGTGCGGTAACCTTGACTCGTCCCAGGGTCGGCGTAATAACGCTGCCCTCATCATGTCGGTGGCGTTGATGCCGGTCGTAGTCATGATCATCCAGAACCTCATCAACGTCTACAACAGCTCCAGCCACGTTGCTAAAATGGAGGACCTACGGAACCAGATTCTGTTCAGTACGGAGACGGGCAATGTCGTGCACATGCTACAGATCGAGAGGGGCATATCAGCTCTATACATTAGTAGCAACGGGGATACCACTATTTTCCAAGGTAAGATTCCTGCACGGGAGGTTTTATGTCCCTGGAAGGATAGGGTTGTACCAAAATGTATATGAGTACAGACTTATTTAGTAAGTTAGTGAGTTGCCTTTTTTTTATCAGAAAACGCTTTCAGCACTAGGCCATCGCCAGCGCTACTAATACTCTAATATGGGACTATATAAACCGACGTAGTCTCCACTAGATATTTCAGAGTTGACATTTTGTTTTACGCACTTAATTATATCATAATTAATTCGTTTAAAAACTGTATTTTTTTCTAATAGCATTTAGGAAGTCTGTCCGACAAGAGTCTAAAATGAAACAGATTAATATCGGTTCATCGCAAATGGGTACCCGGTTGGATAACATGTAAAGGTGTATGAAAAACCTCCTTGAGGCTGAAAGGTCTCGAGAATCACAGTTGTCAAAGAAGGTTTTGCAGAGTAGCGTCCAGTGTCGAAATATGGTGCGTTCGAATCGCAGATATTGCCCTCATTATTATCTTTTGCCTTGCCCTGCCTTGCCTGTGAGCGTTCGTTTCACAAAAGCATCACTTCGACCTCCCCTCTCATATTTAGATAGCATGCAGTGATCTGTTTAACAATGCGTTAAGACTTCAGAGTCTAATTGCACTTTGTGCTGATCATTGCACTGAGAGGTGAGAGCGCAGTTTGAATGCACGGAGATCGTATGAATTTCGTTGTGCATTTCCATGCCCCCAACAGCATGCCAATGGAAGATTGTTCAATGGACACAGAGACAAAATAATTATGGGTTCAAAGTGATAGAACTATGTAAGCAAACCGCAAATGGACGCGTTGGTAATATACTTGATAAAAGAAAGCTCACCTGTAAAGGTTATAGTGCGGTGGACAACCTGCTACAGTATTCCTGCTTTTCAGTCATCTCATCCTTAATGATTATCATCCAATCTTTTCATTTGTACATTGAACATTTTAGTTTTCTGTTAATCAGTACACTGAAAATACGCGTGCGTTTGTTTGTTTGTGTATGCATGTGTGTGTGTGTGTGTGTGTGTGTGTGTGTGTGTGTGTGTGTGTTGATGATGACGATCATGTGAGTTGTATCACTAATAGAAGGTGTATTGCATTGATGTGTGTAATGTAGATACACTGTGTACATATATTGATGAGAACACACGTAATGACAATTGTGTTGACAACATTCCAAATACTATTTGTAATATATTGTTAAATGCTGCTAAAATTATTTTTGTGAAGAGAAACCGACCGTCTACATAATAAGTATAACCAGCACAAGCCTTGGTTTGATGAAAATTGCATAAAAAAGCGAAAACTTTATCTTGAGAGAAAACGTCAATATGGGTGATTTAAGAAGATTAAACAAAGCCTGTGGCTTGGGTGGTAATTGTAATGAGAATAACAAAGCGTCAGCTTGTCTACTACTGCCATTGTATGTACAACTATATAACCATGTCTCACCCAATGCCTGTTACAAAGACAAAGGCAATCCAAAAGAGTGAGTGAGTGAGTGAGTGAGTATGGTTTTACGCCGCTTTTTGCAATATTCCAGCGATATCACGGCGGGGGACACCACAAATGGGCTTCACACATTGTACCCATGCCGGGAATCGAACCCGGGTCTTCGGCGTGACGAGCGAACGCTTTAACCACTAGGCTACCCGACCGCCCCCATTCCAAAAGAACCAGAAAACTACAGAGGCACAACCCTTGCATGCTTTCTAGATAAGCTTTTCACTTCTATAATTAGAAAACGCCTCCAGTTGTATTCTGATCATGTTAATCTCCAAGGTCTTAACGAAGCGGGATCCTGGAAAAGCTTCTCAACATCAGATAATATATACTCAACAACAAAAGTTCCTGTGACACCAATATTTTAGTGTATTTTTCAAACAAGTAAAGTTTGGTTTTCAATATTGTAGTACATGTATGGATTCAAGTCACAAAAACGAAACTGCTACAGAAAAGCATGCATTCCATGCAAAAGTTGACTTTTATGCAAGACCCATGCATTTCAATGCCTAAGAATGGGTATGAAAACATGTGCGTTAACGGGATTCCATAGGCATTGTTTAGCATTATGCTGGCAACAACCACTCAGAAAAACAACACAATTACGCAATTATTCAACATCTCGAAATGCCACGCCTGTCCGAAAATGGGCGTCTGCGAGCCATTGGTATGTTTGAAGCAGGATCGAGTCAACGTGATGTTGCAAGACAATTTAACGTCCACAGAAACACCATTTGGTGTTTATGGCAACGCTGGCAACAGACGAATGCAGTCAGAGACCATCCTCGGAGTGGCAGGCCACGCGTAACCAATAATCGACAAGACAACTGGGTTCGAACAACAAACCTACGAAATCGATTCCAGCCAGCAACAGTGACGTCAAGAAGCAACATTGGCCCTCGACGAATATCTTCACAAACCGTACGTCGTCGCCTCAGATGTGCAGGGATTGTCGCCAGAAGACACGCCAGACGTCCCATTTTTACAGGAAACCACCGTCAAGCACGTCTACAGTGGTGCAGACAGCATCTACTCTGGGCGGCCATGCAGTGGGGACAAGTTCTATTCACTGACGAGTCTCGTTTTCACCTTAGCCACAGCAAAGGACGGATTCGAGCGTACCGACGTCTAGGTGAACGTTACGTCAATAATTGTGTCATGGAAGAAGATCAGTTCGGGGGCGGCAGCGTTATGGTATGGGTAGGATTACAGCAAGACAGAGGACCCGTTTGATAGTGGTAGAGGGAAATCTTAATGGACAGCGGTAACGCGACGAGATCATCGGCCCTGTTGTTCTACCGTTTTGGCGTCGTCATGGCCCAGGCATTACCTTTCAACATGACAACGCTCGGCCTCATATGGCTCGACTTGTTCAGGATTCCCTTCAACAAAATAACGTGAATGTCATCCCCTGGCCGGGGCGCTCCCCTGATCTCTCACCAATCGAGAACATGTGGGATGAGATGGATCGGCGCCTTCGACGTCAACCACGTGTTCCACAGACACTCCAGGAACTTCGAAACATGCTCCAGCAGATATGGACAGATATCCCACAGGACTTTTAGCGACGCCTGGTCCATTCCATGAGACGAAGATGCGTTGCTTGCATCGCAACCAGAGGTGAACACACGCTATTGATTTGTAAATTGACATTTTGGCATGTTCGTGTTTTTTTTATGAAATCACGCATTTTCTGAAGTCAGTATGGCAAATTAAACCATTTTGAACACGTACAGGAGTCTTTTATCTGTTGCAAACCGAAATTGTTTCAGATTTGGTAAAAAACATAACTTTGCATTAAATCTTGTTCAATGTCACAGGAACTTTTGTTGTTCAGTATACATGTATTAAAGGCCCTTGGTGATATTTATTCTTAAACCGCTAGGCACCTATTTTTACATGTCGACGATACAGTACTAATGGCAGAAACGGATAAACATCTTCAAATTCATTAAATGTTTGAAACTTGAGATAAATTTAAGCAAAACAAAAGTACTCATTTTGTTTGCCATGTTTGTCGTTTTCACAAAGATTCGACAGTTGGAAATGTTCGTCGACTGTCAATGACATTTGTTTATCCACATCATTCAACCAATATCATTATATGTCCCTGAAATGTGGGACTTTGAAAAGTCAGTTATGATTGAAAGAATTCATTTGAAATATTGCAAGCGTATGCTTACAGTTTGGCAATCAACTCCAAGCTTTACGATGAACTTAGAGGATACCCACTAGAAATTATCATAAAACTAGAATGATTTTACATTGGAGTAACATTTTACTATCACCACATAAGCTGGTGCATGCAGTAAACGCGCTTATGTGTAATAAAGATGCATCAATGTAACAGTAATTATTATTCCCACTTTTAACTTGTATAAAAAATAAACTGGAGAGCACGGGGTTAAATTATGTATTGCTCTCTCAGTGGTTTTACTAGCATTTCCTGGTTGAAGCATAAAGTTAAAACAATTCTGATAGATCAGTATGATCAAGATTGGAGACAAGAGTTGACGTCATCTTCAAAAGGTTTTATTATACTATGTTAAAGCAGTTACATATCATTGAGCCATTCCTATTATCACTGCATGTAAACCTTAGATTATGTTTAACTCGATACAGCTAGGTAATCACCATCTCCCAATATAAACTGGTCGATGGTACAGTGTACATAGAGAACCTAGAATCTGTACTTTATGTAATCTTGTAATAGGTGACGAGTTATTTGTTATATTTCCCAAACATAAATGTCAATATCTTCCCAAATACTACAGCTAATACCCTTTAATTCAAAATATACATAACTAATGTCAATACAATATATGCCTATCCTTATAAACCTGACAATGAAATTGTATAACTTACGTAAATAGTAGATATTTGTATATCTGTGTATGCACACGCATATTATGTATATATCTTATACTATTATTACTATTACTATTACTTTTTTACGCTTTCTCACTGAATATATCCATGTCTGTATCACCTGTTGTGATTCATGAGATTAAACTTGACAAAAATTGACTTCACATTACTGCAGTGTGGAGCCTTCATACGTGGCCTGTAGTTATCCTATTGATTGTACCTTATACGTTGTTAAAAGGAAGATACAAACACAAGGATGAAATACTGTATTTATTGGTTAAAATATAAACCATATTTGCCAAGACCTCGCTTTTTTACTGAATGGAATGGCTACTTAATCTGAACAAAGATTAGACTCCCCAATCAAAGATTTTTTTTCTCTTTGTTGCGTGTCTGTTTTTCTTTACTTCTCATCAATGATCGTCTTGACAAGCCTGATGACAGGAACCACTGTCAATGTTTAAAGCGCCCATTTCTGGTGTCCCCCGCCGTGATATTGCTGGATATTGCTAAAAACGTAAACACTCACTCACTCACTCACTCACTGTTAATAGCAACGAAGTAATCAGCACCGGAAGTTGTTGGAATGGCCATATTCTGTCGCAAAGAACAAGGTGACCAGACGTT